CGTCGAAAGAACATCAACATTGATTTTAAATTATCCAACTTCTCAATCAATATATATATTGAGGTTAATCACTGTGAGAGCATTGAACTCAAGTTATTCTATCATATTCCGATATTTAGAAACTGAACTGTGGTTGTTTTTCTTTTTTGTTTTTGGCTATTACTACGCGAGAAAGCAATATTCTGTAGCATATTACCATCCTAAAATAATTTTAGGCGCTTTTGTGATCACGACGTTATTCACAGCCTACTTGATTAGTTAAATATTTGTTCGGACTTGAATTTTGGAACGCTCTAAAACTTTAAAAAAAAGGCTAGATCTCATTTCAATTATTTAAAAAAATTTGAATCCAAAAAACATTTTATTCTGTGGTACGAGATTATTACAGGAAAATAGTTTTAAATCTAATATATAAAGTTGAAATGGAATCTTTGGTTCTGTGGCGGACGGACCCTTGGAAGACATGCAAAGAGTAAAAAATTTGACTTTATCGCCACAGTGTAATGTTCTTAAAGTGTTCACTTTTGAAATAAAATAAAATTGATAATTAAAAAATCTTAATATTGATATATTTTAAAATAAATTTTCATTTTTCAACTAATCATTTTGATTGACATAATGTGAAAAAACAAAAATTACAATAAATGTACTACCCTTTACAAAAGTTCCCATTTCGTTTGAAAAAGTAGACAAATTACGTCGCTTCGTGCCAAATACACATGTGACTTGAAAAAACTAAATCACGATATAAAATAAAATAAATAATTCTAAAATGTTTGTTTTTATTTTTGTTTTGTTTTTGCGTTTCAGTTTATTTTTGCGCTTCAGTTTGTTTTTTAGTTTGCGTTTGTGTTAATGTTAATGTTTACTCTTGCGTTTATGTTTGCGTTAAGTTGAACTTTGTGTTTGTGTTTTTGTTTGCGTTCACGTTTGTGTTTACTTTCTCTTTTTTCTCCTTTTTTTGTGTTTGTGTTTCCGTTAGCGTTGTGTTTGTGTTTGTATTTACGTTACGTTTACGTTTTAGTTGGCGATTGTGTTTTTGTTTGTGTTAATGTTTACGTTTGCGTTTTTGTTCGCGTTTTTTTTAGTGTTTTTGTTTGCGTTTTTGTTTGCGTTTGTGTTTGCGTTAGTTGTTGTTGTGGTTGGTGTACGGTTAAGGGATTGAATTATATTCTATTTTATTGCTAATTACTTTTGATTTGATGCTCATTTGAATTTTTATTTTTTTACAGATATAAACTAATGGAGATTTTGACACTGTAACAAGTGGCCAACCCCATCTTGTTAAGTTTTTTAGGTTACTTTGAGGGACTTGCATATGTAATAATGGACATTAATCCAAGTCTCTATCTGAGTTGCTTATACTTGATAGTCACTAATGTAGACACATGCACTGGTGTTGTCACATGTGTTATCAGATGTTAGGTAATGTCGTAATGTTTTACGGGGAATTATGTCTTATTGTATTTTATTAAGGGAGACCATGTATGATCATAATATATCAAGAGATATCATATATTATAGTATATTTATGGAGACCATTACATTACATTATGTTGCTACGGAGATTGTGTCTTATCATAATGTATCAGGAGAGATCATTTCATATCAAATCGTTTTTAGAGACATTATGACATATCAAAATGTATCAGGGGAGGTAATATCATATTATATTGTATCAGGGGAGACAATATCGTATCAAATTGTTTCTAGGGAGATTGTGTTATATCATGATGTATCAGGTGATATCATATCATATCAAATCGTTTCAAAATCATTTTATAACATCTCAGGGTAGTCAATATCATTTAATACTACATCAAATGAGATTATGTCGACCATGTCATATTGTAGTCACCTTATGTATCTATAATGTAGACCAGGGGTCGACAACCTTTTGAAACGATAGAACCAAAAGTCACAATTTACTAAATGTCCATGTTTCTAATGAGCCACTCACATTTTTATTTTAATATTATAATATAATATTGAAATAAAAATGTGAGTGGCTCTTTAAAATTATATTTGATATATTTGATTATGATCATATATATATATATATATATATATATATATATATATATATATATATATATACAATTTAAAATAAAGAGCTTTAAATATGAGATAACTTCATCCATATAAAAACATACACATGTTTTGCAGAAAAAAAAATTAAAGTATTTTATCCAGCTCTGCAAGAATAATAAAATCAGTAGCCAAATTATATAGCCTTAAAAACTGAATACTATTTAAAATACTTTGTTTAAACATGGCTCATAACTTGTTGCTTTCAGTTTCATGCCTGCCTCTAGATTTTTCTTTGTTACTTGGCTTCTTACTTATCTTTTATATTATACTCATGCAAGAAAATGCTTGCTCGCATGAATATGTTGACCCGAAGATCATCAGCATCCAAATGTCAACTTCTTCTCCTTACTGTAGCATTCTGGAAGACTATTCCTTGCGTCAAATATGAGTACCTCAACTCACGACATTTCTTTTAGAGCTGTCCAGTTGTGCAACGAAACGTGCTTGTTTTCAGTACCTCAAAATCTCCTAATTTGCTCTTGAGTTCAGTGAACTCACCACTTCACAAATGTTTGGTTTTCAAATCCAGCAATTTCATTTGTAGAGAACCAGCATCAATTCCAAATAGCCCAAAGTTAATTTCATGTGTTTTTGTGTATGAGAATCTACTATGAACGTCAGAGTACTTGCATTTGTTTTGAATTGCTCAAATCTTTCAATGAAACCATCCTTCATTGTGTTTATAGAAATGCTGCAGTGATTCAAGCAAATAGTAGCATTAGTTTTATCACGATATTTTTTGTTCAGATTTTTCGAAAAAAAGCAATTTACCGCTCTCCGTGTCTCCAACCAAATGAAGTAATTTTTTTTTTCGAAACAATCTTCTTCAAGCAATGCATAGGCTGGGTTTTCCTTTCCTTGCAGTTGTAGGCTACATTTAGCTCGTTTAGTTTCTTTGTGATAACCACCATGAAGTTGATTGTTTCAATTCGGAATGGACAATTTAAAAGGAAGTACATTGAAAATAGGGAGTAGCTAAATATTCTAATAGACTAGCTAGTGTTTATTATTATATCGTTCATTACCAAGGGATGCAGAACAATATTTTTATGAGTTTTGAAAAAAAATAAAAATTAATATTTGTGCATGGAGCTTAAGAGCCGCATCTCGATATTAAAAGAGCCGCCTGCGGCCCGCGGGCCGCAGGTTGCCGACCCCTGATGTAGACTCTCTAAGAAAAATAACATCATCTAATTATGTAAGAAACTGAAATAAACTTTACGTATTAATTTTATATTTTATTATGTTGTTGTTTAAGTGCGTTTACATTTTGTTAAAAGTTGTTCAGTAAGTTTTTTTTTTTTAAATACGGCTTTAATTTTATTTAAATATTAGAAAAAACAATGTATAATTCTTTCTAAACAGATTGTAGTTTGATTTTAAAACATTATTCAGCCCAGGAGAGCTTAATTTTGTGTACATGTAGTGTTTTACCTTGATTGTATCTTGTCTCTTTAAGCTGCGATAGAGGGAAAGCTAAAAAGTATCGAACGTAAGGCAATACCAGCATCATATAGGTTTATTATTTTACTTTTCATGCCTATTTAAAAAAATATTGTATCTTAAGAGAAATATCATTTTTAAAATATGATTATCATTTCATTTTAATGCTATAAATCATTGTTTTACTACCAATGAGTTGTTTTGGAATAGGGTAACCACAGACAACTATGTAAACATTGATAAACTGTGTAATCATTGTCATGATGTGTAAGTAAATAAAATAAGTATTAAAACAATTCTAATAGCAAAATTTTAAATGCACTGAAAATAAAAAAATGCAACTAATTTTCTTTCATACCCTTTCGGTATGCTGGCTAACGGGCCTAACAATTTTAGTAAACGACACTAAACCCCATCTTAAAGTAAAGTTTCCCTTTCAAACCTGACGGTCTATGGGGCAAGTGAAGTAGAGTTCACTTGTTTCTGTGACCTCGGCACATGAAGAGATAGTGTGGTCAGCACTATGCCCAGCCGCCTTTACTTTCCCTAACGTGAGTTAGGTACCCATCAGAGTTGGGTGGACTCAAGGACGGCCTTCTGACTTTAACCCGGATTCGAACTCGAGACTTACGGGTTAGCAGTCCAGCTTTCTACCGCTAGACGACTCCGTCCCATCGTATGCATAGTTTATCGCACTATTTAAAACGAACGTAGGCGCCATAGTGCTATCGGAATAGCTCGGGGTAACAAATAGCATCCTACATGGGCGCTGGAGGACGCGCCTAATTTGTCCATCGTGGGTTGAGTATATAGCCTTTTTTTAGAAACGAACGTAGACGCCATAGTGCTCACATGGGAGCCTGGAGCGCTTTGGGTCATGAAGTGGCCAGAACGCCGGCGGCTGCGCCTGTCAAAGTTTCAACGCTGAATATAGAACTACCCCTTACTATTTATGCAGGACGCAATCGAGATTTATTTTTTATATAGCTTACAGTACGACATAGAGAAAAATCAAATTTTGTTGTGTGCAGAAATTGGATTGAATTAAATTGAAAAAAAGGGGTAAAAATGTTTTAATAACAAGCTTTTTTATATATTAACTCATTAAAAGAAAAAAAAATTCTTGTAATATATGATATTACATTACATTTTAAATAATAATAAAAAAAATCGTTGTTATCTTCAAAACTATTTATAGATGTGTCCAATATATAATATAGTGACCCAAGGTTTTTTTTTATAGCATGAATAAACAGTCAGCGATAGTATGGTTTTACCTACAGCAGGATTTGAAGAGTTGTTTAAATGTAGAGTTATAATTGGCACTCATTTTGTAGTAAATGAAAATGTTAACAGAACAGTAAATAGCCTCTAATTCAATTATTACTATAAACACGCACAGAAACAAATTATAATTTGGCCCCGTGATACTAAATCTAGAGTCTGCTACCGAAGTAGCCACAACGCTACAACAGCTTGGGATCAAGCAAATGAAGAAAGTACATGCGATGGTCAAAACCATCTTGACCAGCTTCTTGTCCCTCGCAGATAGATGCTCGACCGTGGACTTCAGTGTAGATTCCATTCGCCATTTTGATTTTTTCTGCATCTGTCTTATAATGAATATCGTGGAAAATAATTCGAATAAAATGGACAAACCCTGCAACGCAACCCCGAAAAAATGAACGTAAGTATCCACTACTTGCGCGGACTGGTCGTGGTGGCTTTCTAGTCGAGTGATATTCAGCTGAACGTTGAACGTGGCGACAAGGTGAATTTCAAGTTGATACGGAGACAAGCCCACAAAAACACAGACGTAAATACACACTATCACAGCGACTGTTTTGGATGCTGTGACGTAGCGTTTGATCTTGAGGGGCATGGTGACACACAGACATCTCTCTATGGTGATGAAACTGGTGATCAACCAGCTGACTCGGACAAACATGGCGTGCGGCAACACTGGCAAAAAAATTGAGAGTATAAAGTAAACTTGGAGCCATGCAATAAAATAACATACAGGTTCACAAATAAGCAAATTCTGCTATAATTGATTTTATATTACTTTATCCCGCTCCTATTTTTCTATGAAAGGGTAGAACTTCTTTGAAGTTACTATGATTGAATGGTATTATTATTATATTTAGAAGGCTCCGTTTTTAAAATAAGAATACTCAAATTCAAAACTATCCCAATGAAATTGAATTTCGAAATAAATAATTTTAAATTAAAGAAAATATTTTTCTTTAAATATTCATAAATATTGTATTTATTCCTATTTGTGAAATTGGAAAATGCAACAGCTGTAGAAACTACGGAAAAATAGTATCATTTTTAATATCATTATCAAAATTCAATTAAATATATGAACACTTTTTTCTTATATATCTATGGCAGATAGAATAGAGTACATATAATTTGTTGTTAAGTTAAGAACAGTATCCATTAGAGCTGGGTGGGCTCTGGATATTATGCAGTATCAAATCCAAACGAAGATTCAAACTCGAGATCTACGAAATAGCAGTCGAGCGCTGACCAAGATGTCCCATCTGATAATATAATTTAAAGTCTCCAGTTCAAGACATGAAAGAACGACACCCTAGCATCATTCTTCTTCTTCGTTCTTAATTTTTAGTGTTGAGACCATTGACTCCGATTTCAGCCTGCTTTTGTATTTGGGTTTACTTCCATAGCCTTTGTCCAACCAAGAACAAACTCCAAGACAGGATTTGTTTGATTTCGGAGTTCTCTCCTAGAAGAGTGGCTGTCCCCAGCTAACTAGCCTCATCTGCCCGAGGGATTGAACTCGAGAATTTTGGTTTAGCAACCATGATTTTTAACCGACTCGAACACGCCGACCCCTTCCTAGACTCTGATAACATAACGTCTCCAGTTCAAGACGTGAATGAACCAACCTCCTAGCATCTGATAACAATGTAAAATCTCCAGTTCAAGACATGAATGAACCAACCTCCTAGCATGTAACACACATCGTTCATGTTGAATGGGGCGTCCGGCCAGTTCTTGGATATGATCAAAATTATCCCATCAGCCACCAACGTCAGCAGACTGCCCAGGTCAGATAAAGTTAAGGCCATTAGGCTGATGTTCACTGTTTCCTGGAATCCCTGGAACAATTAAATAAAGTTAAAATGGCAATCTAAATACGATCGGAACACACAACCAGATCCGCAACAGAACCATATCAACCACACAACAGTTTGAAACACTCAACCGTATCAAGCAAAGTCAAATTAACCACAGAACAATAACCACAAAACTATATCAACGACAACCATATCATCACAACCTGACCAACCATACAACTACGTTAAAATTAACGACATAACCACACAGCTATATCAACCACTAAACAATACAAACCTAACACCCATACCAATCTCACAATCCGACAGCCTACACAACCCAAACACATATTTGTATCAACCGCACAATCGTATAACCCACACAACCATATCACCACACAATCCATCTAATTAAACGCAGTCAACTACAAAAATACAGAACTTCATTTTCAAAGATATAAATTTTTCTCTGCATAAAATAAACACGTGAAATAGTCTTCGACTGTTGGAACTCTTCAATATATTCTAGCGATTGTACCGTAACATCAAAACACATGATTAAGCGAATAATCATACAACAATCATACATTGTGGGACGGAGTGGTCTAGCGGTAGAGAGCTGGACTGCATACCCGTAAGTCTCGAGTTCGAATCCGGGTTCAAGTCAGTATACCGTCCCTGAGTCCACCCAACTCTGATGGGTACCTAACTCACGTTAGGGAAAGTAAAGGCGGCTGGGCATAGTACTTACCAGACTATTTCTTCATATGCCGAGGTCACAGAAACAAGTGAACTCTACTTCGCTTGCCCTATAGACCGTCAGGTTTGAAAAAGGGAATCATATGTTTGTCACACATATATGATGTAAATGATGTTTTTTACACATCAAATCCCCACCTGTTTGATGAACACAATGATGTTAATGATGTTAGCCACGGACCCCATGATGCTGATGACGAAAATGATGACAGCGAAGAAAAGGATGTCGATGATTTCTCTCTCGTCGTCTATCATAAGAGCCAAGCTCTGATCAAAGCTGGAGTTCCACATCTGTTATGTTGTTGTTGTTTGTGTTGCTGTTGTTGTCTTTGTTGCTGTTGTTTTTGTCTTTGTTTGTAGCGTTAGAAATATGTTGTGTTATTTATTTAAATCAGAAATACAGCTATACATTATCTTTCTCCATTTATTTTAAGGTTTGTTTACGTTTTTCTTCTCTTTAGGTATACAAATGGCATTTATTTATTAGTTTATTTTTATTTTTATTTTATATTAACATTATTGTTTTGAATTAGCATAATTCTATATTGTTTCTACACCGAGTTTTTATCATGTTTATTTTAGTCCAAGCTTCATATAATACTTCAGTTTATTTTTCATAAGTTTTTTTTTATTTTTATCTTGTTTCCTATTTTATAACATTTTATGCACACGTAGCTCTCTATTAGCGCTACGTTACTGGGTTATTCTTTAGACGAACTTGGTATCCCAAAAATGTGGAAAATAATTTTAAACATTACTAAAACCAAAATCTCTAACCATCTATTTTTAAACATTGTATTTAGTTTACAAATTAAGCTAGATTTTAGTAAAATAATTACAAGTAATCTCTTTTACATTCGTAAATCTAGCAAACTGTCTGCTTTACCAAATACCCAAATCTTATAGTTTCGTAGATCTCATAGTCAAGCGTACACATCAGTTCTCATTAACGATCTATTAAGTTAATTAGGACTTGCATTTGGTAGTTAATTTCTTCTTTCGGTGCTTAAGTACTATATACCCGAGTCAAATAACTGTATTTAGTGAAGCATTGAATAATTAATTACATACAATTATCGGCAGGCAACCCTATCATCAGTGTCGTACAAAAATAGCTAAATGGTCTATTTAATTCTAATTAAACTTAGCATGTATTGCAATGATATGTGATTAATTTTTAATGAAATAATCAATGAATAAAAATAATTAGTAGACTATTAGATGCGATTTTATATTTTTTTCTTACTTTTATTTCTTTCATCACATAGAATTTTTTTTTAAGAATCTCAGAAGAGCAATCAATAGTCTGTATCATTATACATTCAGACGATACACATGCCTTTGTATTTGAGTGTAAGATTGTAGATAACAGTACATGTAGAACTCATGCATTTTAATGGCAGCAGCCTTTTAAAAATGTTTCGGATATTTTCGTAGATTTAATATGGAAACTACTTACTTATTACTTTGGAGCCCCTGCGGAGCAAAGGTTACTTTAACGCCCCTGAGGGGAATAGATTACTTTGGAACACCTATGAGCAAGGATTACTTTTTAGCCCGTGAGGGGCATAGATTACCTTGGAACCCTATGAGCAATGATTACTTTTAAACCCCTGAGGAGCAAAGGTTACTTTGGAACCCCTATGAACAAGGATTACTTTTGAGCCCACGAGGAGCAAATGTTACTATCTAGCCAGTGTGTAGCAAAGATTACATTAGAACCGCTAAGGGGCATAGATTACTTTTGAGCCCCCGAGGATCTAAGATTACTTTCTAGCCCTTATAAGCAAACAGTTTTAATCTCCGCGTGGTCGAGTCGGTAAATCTCATGGTTGCTAAACAGGAAAAATCTCGAGTTCGAACCCTCGGGCAGACGAGGCTCGTTAGCTGGGGACCGCCACTCCTCTCTAGGAGAGACAACTCCAAAATCAAACAACTGCTGCCTTGTAGTTTGTTCTTGGTTGGACAAAGGCTATGGAAGCAAATCCAAAAAGAAAAGCAGGCTGAAATCGGAGTCAATGGCCTTAATGGCGAATAACCAGTTGACACGTATACTTAATTGTGTTGGATGTGGTCCCTTCCAACACTAACTTTAAACACCGAGATAAGGAAGAAGAAGACTCTCCGCGGGATTGAAGACTACTTCGCCCTTGACGAGTAAGATTACTTTGCAGCCCTTGATGAGCAAGATTACTTTAGAGATTACAAAAAGCTGCAGCTACGCTTCTCAAGCGGATTATTTTAAGGGAGATATCTGTAACCGCAGCAGTCTTACTTCTACTTCAGTTGTCAACCTCTAGGATTGGTTAGGTCGGCCGAATTTGCTTTCTCCCCGTGGCTTCTGTCGATCGCCTGTTGCTTTGTGTTTTACCATATGTGCTCGTTGGATATTTTATCTGGCCATCTTATATTAAAGGGCTTATCGTAAACATATGGGGGGTTTTTTCGCCTTAATATTTATATTAATTAAACAAAATTTAAAAAAAAAACTAATACAAATTAGCGTTTTTTAAAGTAGAAACCCCCATGAGATAAATCCTACCTCCCCTAAACTAGATCCTCCCTCCGGCAAACTCACATACTCGAAATCGCCATCTTTCTGCCCACCCTATGTTGTAACTCCCATTTTCTCAAAATAAGGCCCCTCTGTCAAGTAGCCCCATTCTCTACCAACCCCCCCCCACCCCCTCCTGCAATCACCCAATCACCCACCATCCACCCCCACCCCTTGCAACTTATAAAAAAGCCATATAGAAACTAGACAAATGTCAGGGTGTAACAGGTTTCTCATTACATACACCTTGTGAGCACCTCATTCTCATTACTTACACCTTGTGAGCACCTCATTCTCATTACTTACACCTTGTGAGCACCTCATTCTCATTACTTACACCTTGTGAGCACCTCATTCACATTACTTACACCTTGTGAGCACCTCATTCACATTACTTGCACCTTGTGAGCCCATCATTCACAAATTCTATCTAACAACATTGCTTGACACTTATCGATTCCCCCCCCCCCACTCCCCACCCCACCTCCACCATTAATTCTAGGTTTCATCAAACTAATAAACAACGAGTATTATTGGTGGTTGGTGACAGGTAGGATAATACACTACGGGATAGGGGTGGTAGACGTTGTGGAGATGTAGTAGGGTTAATGAACTGGGCTAATTAACGTTATAGCGTTGTAGGTCCACGATTGGCTACGAGGTTGTTTGAGTAAGACAGGGAAGAGAATGGGGGTTTGGGAGAGTGGAGGTAAAAGAGAGATGGAGGGAGAGAGAGAGAGAGAGAGAGAGAGATAGGATACTTTTTCTCGTCGAATAAATTGTTGTAGTAACTTCGACATTTATTGTTTAATATCTTCTGTTTCACACACATTTACACGTAACATACACATTCCCAAAAATCAGTTCTGTATTTAGAGTTTATTGTGTAATAATGTGTTTTGTGATTTTCTTTTATTGATATTCATACGCTTTAACCATACACAACCGAGCGTAAACATTCTCCCAAACACACCCACCGACACATACAAAAACATAACATACACATTTCTACATACATAATCTATGTATACTCTCACAAATACATAGCTACATATGTATGTACATATACCACCCGCATTTGGACCAGAATACAATTAGCTTAGAGAATCTGTCTATATTAAACTAGAATACAATTTGTAACAATTGAATAATGTCCGCACGTGTAGCCTAAGTTGCTCACCAATGACATCAATGATTCTCAAACTCTATCGGACTGACTTGACTAATTCATTTAATTTATTTAGATTAAGATAATATTAAATAGAAAAGTTTTCTTTTATAATAACCGGAAAGTCTGTTAAAATCTGTGGGGTGCTTATATTATTAACAAGAAACCTGTAGTTTCATCATTAGCTTTAGATGACGTCCAAGGATTTGATCCTTATGGACATGTTTAGCCACCTTCAACCCCCATCCATCGTTTTATAATACACCCGAGGTTTCGAACGCCTCCTAAAACCATCCCAGCAGAGGCGCAGCGAGGGGGGGGGGGGCGGGGGGGGGCGGACCGCACCGGGTGATAGCATTTAGGGGAGGTGACACAAAGGCTAAAAATACCAAAATATATAGAGAAAAACTTGAGGGGGGGGGGGGGTGCAAATCGAAAATTTGAAAGTTTGTCCCCGGGAAGGGTCGCTACGCCTCTGGGGGGGGGGGGGGGGGTTGACACCATTAATTGCCGCACCGGGTGACACCCGACCTCGCTACGCCACTGCATCCCAGCACAACCCTCAGTGAGCTACCTCAACTTGTGTGAGAACCATTGCTCTACAGTTTGGCATACACGTCGTATCCTTTTAAAATTAGTCATTACATTGAGTGCAAGCTGTTTTGACGTACTCCGTACAACGTTATCTAAATACTGCTAATCATTAAAAGGTATGTATGTTTTTATTCAATGTAACAATATTTAAATTTGTGTGTGCTAGATTTGACAATTACTTAACAATCTAATAAGACTTCTATGAGTTAAGTTTCGTTTTCAGACTTGAAGATTCACGGGCAAATGTACTAGAGGTCATAATTTATGTTTCTTAAACTTTTCTTATAAAAGGATTGTGTGGTCAGCACTATTCATACACGACTTTACTTTCCATAACTTAAAGCATGCACACTTATCAATTTTATATAAAAGGACAGACGAACTTCACCATATCTTTTTCTACTAGAGCCAAAAGGTTTTTACCTTGTTTAACTTAGTCTTAAGGGTGATCTTTCTCTTCGCTGAACCTCTCTTCCAAATAACTTCTCACCAGGCCTGAGAATAGAATATATATATATATATATATATATATATATATATATATATATATATATATATATATATATATATATATATAAATGCATATATATATATATATGTATATATATATACACACACATTATGGTTGTGATGATATAGTATATATATATATATATATATATATATATATATATATATATATATATATATATATATTTATTTATATTTATTTATATATATATATATATAAATATATATATATATATATATATATATATATATATATATATATATATATATATATATATATATATATATATATGCGTGCGAGTGTGTATAAAGAGAGAAGAGAGAGATAAGACAAAAAAGAAAGAGAAGCCAGTTCTGTAGAATAAATGAAGACATGCGACGTGGTGAGTGAACTGTTAAGAGGCTGGCTACCAACAAGGTTGTAAAACTTGAATAGCCCCCCCCCCCCCGTCACTGACAAATCACATCTGGTGCCGACACCTCAACAGCCGTTATGCTCCTGTTTTGTGTCAGTGTGTGTCACTTACGTCGTTAATAAACAGCCTCAGCCTGCTTTTATTTGTTTTGAAGTCTGCACTTGTTTTAAAAGTAAGACAACCCTCACTCGACGTCTGTCGAAAGAGAAAGACAGCTTGGTTGAAGTATGTCTGAAGAGTAAGACTGATATCACAAATAATTATCATTAAAAAAGTTTTTAAAAACCCGCGTTTTCTGATTGAACTAAAAAGTAGAAAATAAATGCTATACATCACAATAATGCAAGCGATCACTCTACTATAAGCGACGAAAAACGTGGGGCGCCGAAGTAAAAGTTTTTTTATCGGTCATTGTTAATATAAGATGTAAAAGTTATATTACTATTGATTAAATAATACTATTGAGTTTTATTAGGGAGCTTGTAGAGAGTCAACAGTATTAGAAACTGTAAGAAAATCATGGCGCCCCACGTTTTTCTTCGCTTATTTATATGATTTATTTTGATTTAAAATTGTTATGGATAATATAAGAAAATTGCGCTTAAATTGTCACTAGACTTTTTATTCTTTTGTTTTGTCTTGTTGCCACAGTTGTGCCAAAGTGAAGCCAGAGTTGGTAATAATATCATCTAAAGGGCTCCATTCCTGTTTGATTTTCCCACGTTTTCTTTAATTAACTTGCTTTCTCTGTTTGTTTGTTTGTTTTTCCAATCAAATCTTGCGATCGAAATTTCTGGCACTTCCCAGTTAGCTAGCGCGCTGAAATTTTCAGGGAAGCTTTCTTTTGAATGACCATAGAATATTCAATTGTTATTATTACTAAATTGATCAATGGAAACATTTTATTGAGCATTTTAGACCGCAATATAATCTATATATATAATTCTCCTCTGCGAGCCATTAGAAAAAAAACGAGCGACGCGTAGCTCGACTCTCTCTTGCCGCGCGCAGTGAACCGAACGATCCCACGTCGCGACAGGCTTAGGGGCAGATAATTTAGTTTGAACCGACTTTAAACTTACAGGAGGTAACTATTACCACTGGTGGCCAGTTTGGGGGAGACGATATGGTCGAGTGGTTGGGCACACGATTGCTATCCCACTCGACACGGGTTCAAATCTATGTGTTCTAGTCAGTAACCAGCCCTCGTCCTAACCGCTATCAACTAACCTCTGACAATCATTCACTTGCGATTGAGACCGAAGAAGAAAGGGTCTCTCGTTTTTTACGAGTTGTCTTTTTACGAGTTGTCTTCGTTTACCCAAAAAAAGTGAAAAGATAAAATCGATAGCAAGATTTCAATGCAAACAAACAGACAAAGACTAAAAAGTAGAAAATAATAATCATTAAAAAAGTTTAAAAAACCCACGTTTTCTGATTGAACTAAAAAGTAGAACATAAATACTATACATCACAATAATGCAAGCGATCACTCTACTATAAGCGATGAAAAACGTGGGGCGCCGTGAATTTCTTACAGTTTCTAATACTGTTGACTCTCTACAAGCTCCCTAATAAAACCTCTCCCTTTAGGATGTTTTAGGACACGAATAAAATGACTGCAGCACAAGGAACAACCTCTCCCTTTAGGATGTTTTAGGACACGAATAAAATGGCTGCAGCACTAGGAACAACCTCTCCCTTTAGGATGTTTTAGGACACGAATAAAATGGTTGCAGCACTAGGAACAACCTCTCCCTTTAGGATGTTTTAGGACACGAATGAAATGGCTGCAGCACTAGGACCAACCTCTCCCTTTAGGATGTTTTAGGACACGAATAAAATGGCTGCAGCACTAGGAACAACCTCACCCTTTAGGATGTTTTAGGACAAGAATAAAATGGCTGCAGCACTAGGAACAACCTCTCCCTTTAGGATGTTTTAGGACACGAATAAAATGGCTGCAGCACTAGGAACAACCTCTCCCTTTAGGATGTTTTAGGACACGAATAAAATGGCTGCAGCACTAGGAACAACCTCTCCCTTTAGGAAGTTTTATGACACGAATAAAATGGCTGCAGCACTAGGACCAACCTCTCCCTTTAGGATGTTTTAGGACACGAATAAAATGGCTGCAGCACTAGGAACAACCTCTCCCTTTAGGATGTTTTAGGACACGAATAAAATGGCTGCAGCACTAGGACCAACCTCTCCCTTTAGGATGTTTTAGGACACGAATAAAATGGCTGCAGCACTAGGAACAACCTCTCCCTTTAGGATGTTTTAGGACACGAATAAAATGGTTGCAGCACTAGGGACAACCTCTCCCTTTAGGATGTTTTAGGACACGAATAAAATGACTGCAGCACTTGGAACAACCTCTCCCTTTAGGATGTGCTAGGACACGAATAAAATGGCTGCAGCACTAGGAACAATCTCTCCCTTTAGGATGTTTTAGGACACGAATAAAATGGCTGCAGCACTAGGAACAACCTCTCCTTTTAGGAAGTTTTAGGACACGAATAAAATGGCTGCAGCACTAGGAACAACCTCTCCCCTTAGGATGTTTTAGGACACGAATAAAATGGCTGCAGCACTAGGAACAACCTCTCCCTTTAGGAAGTTTTAGGACACGAATAAAATGGCTGCAGCACTAGGAACAACCTCTCCCTTTAGGATGTTTTAGGACAAGAATAAAATGGCTGCAGCACTAGGAACAACCTCTCCCTTTAGGATGTTTTAGGACACGAATAAAATGGTTGCAGCACTAGGAACAACCTCTCCCTTTAGGATGTTTTAGGACACGAATAAAATGGCTGCAGCACTAGGAACAACCTCTCCCTTAAGGATGTTTTAGGACACGAATAAAATGGCTGCAGCACTAGGAACAACCTCTCCCTTTAGGAAGTTTTAGGACACGAATAAAATGGCTGCAGCACTAGGACCAACCTCTCCCTTTAGGATGTTTTAGGACACGAATAAAATGGCTGCAGCACTAGGAACAACCTCTCCCTTTAGGATGTTTTAGGACACGAATAAAATGGCTGCAGCACTAGGAACAACCTCTCCCTTTAGGATGTTTTAGGACACGAATAAAATGGTTGCAGCACTAGGGACAACCTCTCCCTTTAGGATGTTTTAGGACACGAATAAAATGGCTGCAGCACTTGGATCAACCTCTCCCTTTAGGATGTGTTAGGGCACGAATAAATGGCTGCAGCACTAGGAACAACCTCTCCCTTTAGGATGTTTTAGGACACGAATAAAATGGCTGCAGCACTAGGAACAACCTCTCCCTTTAGGAAGTTTTAGGACACGAATAAAATGGCTGCAGCACTAGGAACAACCTCTCCCTTTAGGATGTTTTAGGACACGAATAAAATGGCTGCAGCACTAGGAACAACCTCTCCCTTTAGGATGTTTTAGGACACAAATAAAATGGCTGCAGCACTAGGAACAACCTCTCCCTTTAGGATGTTTTAGGACACGAATAAAATGGCTGCAGCACTAGGAACAACCTCTCCCTTTAGGATGTTTTAGGACACGAATAAAATGGTTGCAGCACTAGGGACAACCTCTCCCTTTAGGATGTTTTAGGACACGAATAAAATGGCTGCAGCACTAGGAACAACCTCTCCCTTTAGGATGTTTTAGGACACGAATAAAATGGCTGCAGCACTAGGAACAACCTCTCCCTTTAGGAAGTTTTAGGACACGAATAAAATGGTTGCAGCACTAGGAACAACCTCTCCGTTTAGGATGTTTTAGGACACGAATAAAATGGCTGCAGCACTAGGAACAACCTCTCCCTTTAGGATGTTTTAGGAAACGAATAAAATGGTTGCAGCACTAGGGACAACCTCTCCATTTAGGATGTTTTAGGACACGAATAAAATGGCTGCAGCACTAGGAACAACCTCTCCCTTTAGGATGTTTTAGGACAAGAATAAAATGGCTGTAGCACTAGGAACAACCTCTCCCTTTAGGATGTTTTAGGACAAGAATATAATGGCTGCAGCACTAGGAACAACTTCTCCCTTTAGGATGTTTTAGGACACGAATAAAATGGCTGCAGCACTAGGAACAACCTCTCCCTTTAGGATATTTTAGGACACGAATAAAATGGCTGCAGCACTAGGAACAACCTCTCCCTTTAGGATGTTTTAGGACACGAATAAAATGGCTGCAGC